AGTGATGTGGATGGTGTGCAGATACTCTTGCGCCAATTGCGATCCGAACCCATATTTCACTCTATCCGGTAGCTCGTGCTGAACCGTTCCACTGCCAACGCCCGTTTTGACACCACTCTTTCTAGCTATCTGTCAAAAGCCAACCGTCTACGGCCTGGCGTGGGTAGTCGCTATCGACACTGAACCCACTTATGTTGGCAGATATTGGGTATTGGTGATCAATCAGAAATCATTTTGTTTGACCGCCTCTTGCGGTGATATGATGTTACAATATACACAGTGATGTAGAGTGGTGTGCAAAAACATTTGCTTCAGCTGGGATTTGAACCCATATTTCACCCAATGCGAGGGCGCGTGCTGAAAATAGGCGTCGACAGTGGAACGGTTCAGCACGAGCTCCCTGATAAGGTGAAATGTGAGTTCGATCTTAGCTGAGGCAACTGTGTTTGCACACCACTCCACATCACTGGGTTTATTGTAACATCATACCATCGCAAGAGGAGGGCCAAATGAAATAATTTCCATCTTTTTTTTTTTGAAAACTCTACACGAAATAGCATAATGAAGAAAGTTGATTGTTGCAGTTATGTCCGTAATGATGTTAATAAATGATTTAGGAAATACTGTTGAATAACACACAACATGCACTATAATACTTTATGATATCCGGATTCTGAACATCGCCTTTGTCGCAAAGTACAATCATTCAAACAACACTGTATCTCTCCTCATTTTCGTGATATCCACGTGCAACCTTGGTTTTCTTCTTATGTGTCATCTGGAAATGTTCTTTCTACTTGTAACAGCGTTATGATAAAATCAAATCTGTTATAAATGACGTCACATAGATTGCTTAGTTTAGTGACCTTACAGCACTTAAATTGAGAATTGACAAAAGCTCTGGTAAATCCCACTCTTAAATATTTGATAAATCGCATTAAAGTTGCACACAGCCTAGCATCGCATGTTGCCATCCACTTTCTGGAATACTACTCAACTATAGTTATACATTACGCTAACCTTTTCAAATGGCTCAGCATTATCTATACCTCTAGTCCCATGCTACCTATCTACCTGAAAAGTGAAGCACTCTTGCGGCTGTAACCAAATACGGTGAGGTTACTCCGAATTAGATCGATGTCTCCTAAGACAGAATTTTAGGTGAGGAGTTCAGGAAAGATGTTCGTTGAGTCTTTTCAAATCCTAGCTTAGTTTACCAGCATTTTTCCTCTGAGATAGTCGTCCTCTTCGAAATCAAATAAGAATTTCCTTTAAATTGAATTCGACAGATCCTCCGATCGTGCGACGTACGACCTTCGTTTTCTCACGGAAAGCGATGCTGCTATCGTTGGTCGCATGCGTCAGAGAAGCCTTTACAATTGCAACTAGTTTTAGCAATGTCGAAAGCCTTTTTGTCTGATGGGCAATGGTACTTCTATAGATTCAGCATGAAAAACAATGCCTCTTAAAATAAAAAATTGAATTTTTATTATGAGAAAGTTTCGTCACCAGCAATTTGGGCTCTTCGCCTGCTTTTTTTGAAGTGAGAAAAAATTAGTTTTGAAAAAGCACTTATACGATAGTGATGGTCAATCTGTCAATTAGCAGAAAAGCACGCCTTTTGATCTTCTTTCAAAAGTCAAAAAAACATATAAAAACGAACCTGTCAGAGTTATGTTTACGTTCAGCAGTACTTCTCCAAGTCTTTGTTCTATTATCGCACTAACATGGGACTACTATGAAGAAACGATCAGTCATAAAAAAAACACATGGCATAGAGGTTTAAGACACAGAATTATTTGCAAAAAGGCAAAAAACAGAAACAAGAACTGAGCAGATGATTCTTCGGACATGATTAGTCGAAATTCCTTGAAATAGTCAATGAAATTCTTGGAATTTACTTAGAAAACCGTAATCTAGACGGATAATGGCTTCCTCTCAAAGGATAGGAAAGGAAGACAAAATTCAACGCACTTCAGGTGCTTGGATCGGTTGTTTTAGCAGCTTCGCAATTTGACTCAGCAAAAAAGAATTGTAAACTATTGATTAAGACGAAATCGACATCATTCGGTCATGAAATCATAGATGCTTCAGTGAAATTACCATTTTCGCCCTCAACAGAATCGCTTCGACCTTGGTTTTTCGGTTAACAGCGAAAGTTTTTGGTGTTGTAGTAGATCAAACAAAGAAATTCTACAAAATTACTCTATACCGAGGTTCTATGCAGCAATGTCCATAAAACATTTCAACATTTTAAATCAAATTTGTTGAAGAAAAAGTATTTCGGAAATTCTCAAGCGTGATTGAAATTCAACTTTCAAGTGTAGGCAACATCCAGATCAACCACTCATTCAACCACGTTTGGACGCACATGTTCAAAGTGGTACATGTGTTAATATTTTACTACGCATGCACCGAACGTCCTCGTTCTCGTAGTCAAAGTGGGCCAAAAATCAATTCAAATTGTCGTTTTACACTGATAATTTGATTCCAATTCCAATTCCAATTGACCCCCATCACATCGTGGAGAGTGAAACACATAATCAATGAAATGTTACTTAAGATGTCTTTGAGTTTTTATTCCATGAACAAAAGATGATTAAATCAATGTCTATGGTCACCCAGATCTAGAGTAAGATTATTTGTTTTGCATTAGTGTAGGGAAATCCTCTCTCTATATTTCTAAGCCCGTTTTTTTGTCGAAATACGAAAACGGGCATCAGTGAATGACGGACCAAATTTTTTTTCCTTGACTTTCGATACCGCTTTAAGCTGCATGTGCTTACGGACAGGTCGATTGAACGTTCAGGAACGGAAGCGAATTTGCTTTCGTTTTTTCACATGCAGTTTTTATGTATCATGATTGTACATTTAGCATCTCGTTTGTCTATCTTGTCTTCTTTGCAGCAGATGACAAAACAATAATTTATATATCTACAGCTTAGTAGTGGCTGTAAATCGATTATTCACGCTTCTATCTTAGCCAAACAATCAAAGCAAATCTTAAGGCCAGCCTATGTTGCTTTACCAGCTCTCTCATTAAATTAGTACCCAAACCATACAAAAATTAAGCATTTTTGGCACTCCAAAAATAGGACCATGACTTGTCGAATCAAAAAGCCATGCATGTTCGTAACTCTCTTGTGCTTCGTGGCCTGGGAACTCGTGGATGGTTCACATTGCGGAATAACTCGTCATGGTATAAACGACGTTCACGTCAAAAAAACTTCATCATGTAAGCGTTGGGGCAATTATTTTGGTTGTTGACTTTATAATATAGCACTAAATAATTTCATTCTGGATTATTTTAGATTGCTGCATACCAAGAACAGATGCTTAAAGCTTGTTTAGAAAGTTCGCGAATTAGATTTTGAATTGAAAAAAACATACATGGGAAATATTAAGGTACCGGTAAAAGTCACCATCATTGCATGAAATCTAAAATATCTGCTCGGAAAACTCCTCGCTAATCTTTCACGATTTTCAAAAATCCAAAAAGAAATCGACAGGAAGAGTTTCTTCTACTCACGCGTAAACCTTGTACTGTGCACTCTCAGTACGTGTAATCAACATTCTCCATGAAAGTACGAATGTTCTCTACCTTTTCTTAGGTGGAATTCACTCAGACTTATAAAGTCATGCTTGATCTGATTGTGCTCGTGTATTTTGATTCCGTAAGTCGAATGTTATTTATGTCTCGTAAGCCGGTTGCGCTGCCAACGCACTTGCAGCTTCATACGGTGGGTGCGCATCGGCTCACTCATGACCGTCAAAAACCTGTTCCACTTTCGTTGCAGATTTGGATCTGTTACGTAAGTGAACTTAATCACGCAACTGCTCTTTTCATGTGAATGGATGATTGTGTGTTCTGCAATACTGCTTTAGTTGTTTCACTTCGCTCAACTTTAATTTGGGCTGATTTCACCCCATTATGAAGTGAATACAAGAGGACGAACTTTTTTTGATCAAACTGTACTGCATTTTTAATCTGCCGCTGCGTTATACATAAGGTTGTGCTTTGAAAACGGTACATAGATAATCCATTCAAAAGTGAGATTTGAAGTCGAATATCAGTAAGATTGGTACAACAAGTTTTGAAAGAATATTAGTTTCTTTCACGATTACACGGTAGAACACGAAAACACGTTTGTAGTTCACCTCGCAAATTTTCACTCTCGGTCAAAGTGTCGATATTAAAATAACATGATGAAGCTATAAACTTACTGTGCAAAATGGAAGGAGGGTATGTATATAAAAATCAACTTTAACGACAGATCTTAGAAGCATCCACAAATGCACCGTTGTGCTAACCTTTCCACGCGATGCTTGTCGTGATCGACGAAATTCATTCAGCAAGTGTAAATTTTAATCACAGATTGAGCATTTAAAAGGCAATGGTGCATGAAGGCTTATCTTAATGATCTATTTTTTCGGAAAATTTGCGTCGAAAGCTCAACATTGCCATACACAGAACTCTAACAAAGAGTAAAATCAATAAGGCATCCTCTTCTTGAAGAACTGAAAATGAAATAGCAAACACGACGTCCATTTGGCTTTCCAAAAAGCAGAAGGAAATCATTTTCAGTATGGAGAATAGGCGAATATCCATCAATATTGGGAACTCTTCCCTTTCGATTGTTGTGAGACGATTTTTTTTTTTCCTATGAACAAACCTAACACTAATTTTCTGTCAAATATAGTTGTTTTTGTATGTTGTATTATATTGTATGTATGTATTATGTTTGTATTATTTGTATGTTGTATTTGAATGTTTGTATGTTTGTTGTATTTGTTCACCACTCAATTCTCTTAGGTATATAGAAAACATCACAACAATGCGAAATGCATTGAAATACTATTAAATCCGAGTATTAGTAATTAATATAGCTGTCAGCTCAACTGGTTTATAAAGCGAAGTCGCATACCCAACCAAACCTGTCAAAGGTTGGTGGCTAATAGCTAACATTGAGATGTTGAAGAATGAGTGGTCGGGCAAATATGCCTCTGTGGTGTAGTGGTTAGAGCACGCGTCCCTGCATAGGATGAAACACAGGTTCGATTCCCGCCTGAGTCCGTGTTTTTGTTCACCTCGCAATTCTCTTAGGTATATAGAAAACATCACAACAATGCGAAATGCATTGATATCATTGAATCCGAGTGTCGAACATAGTTTTAAAAATATAAATAGATCTTATCAAATCACATAAGGCGCAGTGTGGCTCGATTCAACATCTTACAAAGCGACTCACTTTTCTCACTTTTTTTCGTACAATAGAAGTCAACCATTGCGTTTTTAAATTCAAAATTTTAGTTAATGATTCTCTGCGCGTCAAAATAATAGGCACCGGTAAGTGGCCGCTGGGCCACCGACTACCTAACATTAAGAGAGATGGTGAGAATAAGGATGCTCAGAAAACGGATCAAAGTTCTTTTCTTTTACTGCATCTTCTTCGTTCAATTCGCCAGAAAATGACGTTACATTTACATGAAACAGCTTTGGAAATATCGGCGGAATAATGCAGAACTCGAGCTTCACATTTCAGCTGAGAAAATTCCTATTCCTATGTCGAAGTGTTGTGAAATTTTCAATGATTACGCTGACTGATGAAAGCAAAGTGCTCGCTTGACGCAGAACAATGCGTTTCAACAAGTAAACCAGATTTGGCCCTTTTCCGTAGTCTCCACCCATTTCGACCCTTCAGAAAGAGCTTATTCTGTTCTCGTTTTTGATGTTTAAATAATGATTCGATAGCCTCATCTGCATCACCTGCCGCCCCGTTGATCGTCGAGTGACTTGAGGGGATACCAGTAGCACCTCCACTTTTCCCTATCGTGTGCAAGAGTAGCCCATTGGCTCCTCCTCGCTTTATGAATTCGGTGAACATCGTATCCTTCTTCTAGGCTTTTCGTGAAAAAATCGGACCATAGAGTCGGCGGTCTTCTTGTGAAGTGCCTAATATCCCAAGTAACCCGGTCCTAACGGCGACCGCTTCGCCTGCCATGTGCGAATCAACACGGTCACGTTGAGGACGAAAATACTCTTTTGTCGATAGACCTAGTCAGTTTGGGGGATGACAGGACTTATCTTTCCTCCTAAGATGCAATGCTCCAAGTGAGCACAATGCTCCTTACTACCCATAGCCTCACCGAGATCTTTTCTACATATTCTACCATTTGCTGAGGATAAATTCCATATAAGCGGCGGTAAGCAGCTAGAATTCTTTGGAAATCTATCACATTTTCAATGAAGCACACCTCCTATCGGCGACCACCTCGCCTGCCAAGTGAGATATCAACACAGTCCGCAGCCTGTTGAGAACAAAAATACTCTTTCGTTGATAAACATGGTCAGGTCTATCTCAATAATGACACACTAAGCATCTACAAAAATTTCCTTTACTACCGCCTACCGCTAACGGCTCTCGATTATCGTTTCTTTGTCGTTGAAGCGCATCACGTGCCCGGCCCACCTTATTTTCGATACCCTGGCGTGCAGAACGGCGTCTCTGATTTTCGATCGATGACGTAGGTCGGAACTTCGGATCCTTTCTCTCATTTGCAAAATACGGAATACTCCTAGCATCGACCTTTCGACTGTGCGTTCGATAACGCCAAGTGATCCTTCATCCTGCTTACGTAGCGACCAGGTTTCTGCTGCATACGTTAGGGCAGGGATAATTGTCGAGTCGAAAAGGTGGGCACGGAGTCGGATGTTCTTTGTCCTCTTCACTATATCCTCGATGCTCCTTAACGCTCTCCAAGCCGCTCGTTTCCTCCTGCTCAACTCTGGAGTTAGGTCGTTCATCATGTTGATTTCACGACTAGATAAAGGTAACTGGGGCATATGGAGATGTGCGTTTCAAACGAAATCCTTTTTTATTTAACCGCTTTTAGTGGTGTTATGATGTTATAACTAGATACCCATTGATATAGAGCGATGTGCAAAACTTTCGCGTCAGGCGGGACTAGAACCCGCACCTCACTCTTTCCGGGAATGCGTGCTCTATCCGTTACACTACTGACGCGCATTTTACACATCGCTCTTTTCACGCTTTTCGCGCATCTATCGGTCAGCCGCCAGCCGTCAACGGCCTGGCCCGGGTAGTCGGTCTCGACGTTGAACCCAGTTGCTGGAAGATATGGGTATTGAAGATCAAACGAAATCCTTTTTTATTTACCCGCTTCTAACGGTGTTATGATGTTATAACTAGATACCTATTGATGTAGAGCGATGTGCAAAACTTTTCCCGCTAGAAGCTAGAATCATAACACCGCTAGAAGCGGTTAAATAAAATAAATTGCGTTTGATTTCAATACCCATATCTGTCAGCATGACTGGGTTCAATGTCGAGACCGACTACCCGGGCCAGGCCGTTGACGGCTGGCGGCTGACAGATAGATGCGCGAAAAGCGTGAAAAGAGCGATGTGTAATATGTGCGTCAGTAGTGTAACGGACAGAGCACGCATTCTCGGAAAGAGTAAGGTGCGCGTTCTAGTCTCGCCTGACGCGAAAGTTTTGCACATTGATCTACATCAATGGGTATATATTTGAAAAGTCATACCACCGCTATAAGTTGTTAAATAAAACGAATATCATTTGATCTTTTGAATCTGAGTGGATCTGAGTTTTTCAAATTTTCTGCATAAGATTGCTTTGGCATTTGACGTAATAGATTCCCAAATCGAAATTTGAAAATCTAAAAAACTTTTAAACAATTCGCATAGGCAAACTTCAACAAAACACTATAGCACCGTTAACGAAAGTCCTAAGAGTCTAACTAACATTAATAATGTGCCGGAAACATCAAGGGTCACCGTGTTAGGAGGCATGACTATCCCCGATAATGCGCGCTCGCTCTTAGAAATGGGCCCAAATTTCGCACCAGCGCAATCCATTTCTAAGGAAACCCTGTGTAGTATCGCTTGCAATTTGCAAGACCTTCAAGATCGGCTCCGCTATAAAGCTAGACTAGAACCACCCAACAGTCACACAACAAGAACGTAGGGCATTACCAACACCGCCTTTTCCTCGAGCGTTCTTTAGGCAACAAGGCCCTAATAATGAAGTGGATATCGTTTTTTCGCATATTTTCGGACGAAACTCTTAGAATCCTTAATCACTATCGCGCGAAAAGGTTTAGCCCCAACCTAACATCAACGCAGAAAGCCGATATACGACAGGTACGGGAGCTAATAAAGTCCAAAACCATTCGACTACCAGTTAGTGATAATGGAGGAGAGTTCGTGGTGATTCCCCATCAGTTGAATGTTGAGATAACGAAAACACCTGGAGGACGCTGCACTCTATCATCCATCATCCAATAAGGAATTTCAAAACAATATCGAAAGTTGAAAAGTGGATGATTAAAAATAGCAAGTTTGGCTGGTTTAAAATCTTCCGTTATCTCTCAACTAAAACTCAGTCCACCATCATGCTCCATCTTGTACTTACTTACTAAGACTCATAAGTTGGTACGCACTGATGATCTTGCGTCTACGCTCCATCAAAATTCAAAGTTAGACCCATCATCAGTTGTGTAGACGGACCCACAGATAGAATAAAGTGGTTTTGAAACTTAATACTAGTCCAACTACTAAAACATATTCCAGCCCATCTTACCAATACCCAAATGTTCTTGTATCGTCTACGTAACGCGTCTCCCAACAACGCGTACGTAATGGAATAGTTCGACGTAACCGCTCTTTATACAAACGTGTCGAATGAGTCCGCCATGCACGCCATATACGAGCTTTTAACAGAGCACGAAAGGACCACAAACATCTATGGCTTTTCCATTCGGCAGGTCATGGCTCTCTTAAAAGAATGGCTAAGCTGCTCATTCTTTAGATGGTCTGGGAATTATTTTGCGCAGATCAGAGGGCTGGCAATGGGACAATGACTAGCTTCGACCCTTGCTATCGCTTTTATGTCTAAAGTAGAGGCCCCAATAATCGATTTCCTGCCGCTACTCTACTGTAGGTATGTAGATGATTGTTTTGTCGTCTGCTCAACGCAAGAGGAGATGGACAAATGTTTTGAGTTGTTAAATAGTCAGTCAGAGTACATAACATTCACCCGTGAGAAACTAAGGCAAATTGGCTTCCATTTTCAAGCGTTCAAGTTAACCTCTGCATAAACTCCTACAACACAAATTGGTATCGCAAACCAAGCAATAAAAACATCCTGGTTCACTACCTATCTGCTCATCCCTCGCACACAAAATGCGCACTTATAAAAAACATGTTTTGAACAGCTGCTAATGTGTGCGTAGGAAAAGAACACAAGGTAGAATCCCTGAGCTTGGCGCAAAAAATAGCCATCGCTAATGGCTACAACACGATAGGAGCTTTTCGGATTGAATTTAGAAGAAATTCGCCCCCCCCCCCCCCCCACACGGAAGGTCTAGCGAGGATAAAGTTCCATTCATCCTGCCTTCTATTTCAAACGAAGTGAGTGCGGCCATTGAACGCTGCTTAAAAAGAGCAGGTTTAGATAATTCGGTAGCAGTAGTCGAGATACCACCAAAAACACTAAAACGCCAATTAATCCGCAACCGACTGTATGATCGTCTCTGCAAAACCAACGACTGCAAAGTTTGCCCCAAACGGCAGAGACGACGACTGCATGAGGTCAGGTACAATTTACCTAATCTCTTGCGAGGCATGCGGTGATGAATATATTGGCGAAACGGGTAGACCACTCTGCATCCGCCTAAAAGAGCACCTAGCTGGGAAACGAAACTCCGACCCAAAGACCCCACTAGGCACGTATAAGGAACAGAGGCATAAAGGAGCAAATTTTGACGTTAAATTCACGGTCCTTGCACACGAATCAAAAACATCTACGCGTAAAACTTTGGAAGCCTTTTGGATACATAGCAAAGGCCCAAATGGACCGCAAAGAGGAATGCCTCGTAATAACGCGTGACCTAGCACCATACCTCAGGCTAATATTCCCGACCTGAGCCAGGCACAGTCTCACATTAGCACAGACTCCAATTGGCAGGTCTTCAATGATTAGCTGAAAGATCTAAAACATCTAAGCGGTGAGTGTTTTTGAAATGAAGTTTTCC